CCCGGTTTTTTTTTTTTTTTTTTTTTTTTTTGGCCATCCCTGCTACAAACATGGCGTAGTCTCCCGCTTCCAGACAGGACCCAACCCAACCCGACCGGTGGGAGGAAGTCTGCCGTCAGCCCCTCTTTGAAAACAGATGGATAAACGGAGGGCGGTGTCAGGATAAGCTCAGCCCCGCCATGACTGGGTCAAACATGGCATTCTCAGGGTTGGGGATCTCTGGGACACTGACAGACAAACATGGAAGACGGCAGACCAGATGCGGGACACCTTACGGTATTGCCATCGGGTCGAAGAGTCCCTGGAAAACATCATTGAAGCCATCCCGCTGGAATGGTACCGGATCCTTAGAAACGGCCCCAATTTGAGAGACGGTGACTGGGTGACGACTACAAAGACTCCACACCTGACTGGATTAATCCACATGGTCTCTCCCCAAATGATACTAATTGAATATTACACCATCACAAAATCAAACACCCTCCAAGCAAGGGAGGCACCTTTTGAATGGAAGAGCAGAACAAAGGTTAATAGAGTGAGAGTCCTGGAAGAAAAGGGACAGAGGGTGGCCTTCCAGCCAGATAAACCAATCCAGGACTTGGCCCTGGACCCAGCAGAATGGGTATGGCAGCCCCCCCGACGAAGGGGCGCCCCCAGAACAACTCACATTAACCTGCACCTCTTAACGGTCAAATCAGCTTATAAAATGCTTCGACCCAAACGCCACCTGAGGGACATAATAAATGATAGATGGGCCAGACATCTAAACATCGACCGAGCCCTCCTGACACCGATTGAATGGTTCAAGGAACAAAAGCATAAGCCAATGAAAATTACCTCGCTACAATGGCAGATAGCTCACCGCTGCCTGCCGACTAACGATTGGCTGATTGACCGGACAAACCTCGAACAAAGGGGTCTGCTGTTCCCATGGTGCCAGCGCTGCCAGAGCCTCTTCCCCTTCCACAAGAAGGCTGAGACCATCGAACACATCTTCATGCAGTGCCCAATCGCCCAGTTCATTTGGAGGTGGTGGGACCGCATCTGGCGGAAGATGGAACCGGATATTCCCTGGCCCTGGTCATGGCAAACCATTCTGGCTGGACATTGGCCCCAGGCAGGGACTGCCACACCCTTCACCGAAAATATATACAGAGTGGGAAGGAGGGCAGTGATGTGGGCACTCTAGTGGCAAAGATGCATCCTAACCATGGAGAAGGTATGGGTAGACGACGCGGAAATCATAGAACAAATCCAGCAGCAACTACACCTAGAACTCACACACAGGTGGTTAGATGCGAAGGAACAACTGGACCTTTTCAAACAAACAAGAGATGTCAGGAGAAAGATAACGGAATTTTGCAAGGATTGGGTAGGGGGGGAAAGGGAAGGTTGGATCGCACAAGTAGTATGGAGTGGGGATCAAGAGGAAGAATTAAAAAACTTAGAAGAGCTGAGAGACTACAGGCTGGTTTTCAAGGATTGGACCAACATAGAGGCCTCGTTCCCATTGCGCCCCCCCACGGATTTCCCAGATCCCTTCCCTCCCCACGTCCTTTCACTGACGGAAACCCTGGTTCCCCCACCTACCTGACACCCCCCCCCCCCMCATTTCCTAACTCGTCTGTCCCTCCGGGCCACGCGAGGAAATCCTCCCCGGAGCCCCCTGGGGAGGATCCCGCTTGTTCATTACGTCTGATAACCTCTGCTGTTGCAGCCGGAGCGGGGCAGGGGCAGTCAGCACAACTGGGCTTGGAGCAGACAGGCCCTGGAATAAGTATCAGGGCAGATAGGCGAGCTGTCTCTTCTGTGGGTGAAATGAGTGGTCGTTCCTCAGTATCAGTCCTGAATTGCCTATCTGGCGCCCTCCTCCTGAGGGTGAAGAGATACAATGGTGACAGCAGTTTCCCAAGGTCTTCTTCTGAGCAAGCAGCCGTTTCGCAGCCGCTTCACAGTATCAGTCCTGAATCTTCTATCTGGCGCCCTTCTGAGGGCGAAGAGATACAAAGGTGACAGCAGCTCGCCAAGGTTCTGGTTCTCCAAGGTCTGCACAGTGGCTGCTCAGCTAAGGCTGCAGCTAAGGCTGCTTAGCTGCTCTTTTGACTCTTTTGATTCTCACAAGCACCTTTGCCTGCTCAATTAATCC